AACTCACGTTTTACGATACGCTGTGATGACTCCCTCGCCTGTTTTTTTTTTTTCCCCCTCTGCTCCCAGCACAGTCATGAAGGCCTGAATTATTATAAAACTCCCCGTGTAGAAACACATGCTGCTTTCTCATTAGGCACTCAGGTTCCTTGAGGGTCAACCACATATTAGGACATTCATGTTTATGTTTTATTAAAGAAAATGCATATTAAATATTTTAAACAAACAACTTTGACTCTCTTCTTATCAAAGTGACAAACTGTAGAGCATAGTTAGCAATGTCTGGAGCACTATTTTTGGAAAATCTCAAGTGAAGCAGAAAGCAGTTACTGTATCTTTCTTTATAATAAATCCAGATTATTTAGTCTCGAATGGTAGACCTAACAACCAGTGTAGGACTCTTTCAAAATAACTAAAAACACCCTAGCTTTTAAATAAATAGTATTTGATGAACGTTTTGCTACTGTTATCACTTTTTATTAGGTTATTTAACACACAGCTTATGATTACTCTCATGTGCATGGAGTAGTTAATACTTAAAAAAACATCTTCCTGCAAAGTTCTAAAAGTTCTAAAAATTACACATAAAAGCAGGCAGAGTTAATGTTATAGGTGGATAGTAACCAGATACATTTACTCAGTCACTTCAGTAACTTTTTGATAAAAGTACACGTTTAGGAATAGTTTTAATGCACCATTACTTTTACTTGTAGTGAATAATATCCATATAAGACATCGCTACACTTACATACATATACTTCAGTATTAATTTTATTTATTAGCTTGTATAAATAAAAAAATTGCTCTAGACAAAGACATACAGTTAATGTTTATGTTAAAAATAGTTTTTTTTTTGTTTTTTGAACACAAGCTTACTTGGACCTACATTTGGGGGTCAAGCTAATATACAATAAGGAATTAATATTGTCACTGGAGGTAATTGTTTTATCATTTTTATACTAAAAAGTGTTTCTTTTGCCAAGAACAGCTATTTTCCAATTACATTACATTGCCCATTACTTTTAATTATCTTACTATAGAATTTCTTACATAATTTTAAATATCAGATACTATTATTCATTAAGTCTTTACTCTTACCTGACTAATTTCTTTGATGGCTAATTTTTAATATTTCCTCAGTAAAAATATCACAAAATAGTGTTAGTCATACATGAGTGCAATTTTGGGTACTCTATCTACCTCTTGGTAATCGATTTTAGATCTTAATTTTTTCCAGAAATTCAAATATTCAAACAGGAAAAGCATTGATGGTGCAACATTTTCTCCCTTCGTTTTCCAGCCTCTTCTAAAAACTGCCCGATACAAACATGTTGCGGTATAAAGGTTCATTTATTTTGAAATTTGAGTTTTAAGACCCTAATACACTGAGTTTAACGCTTATCTTTTGCCTTAAAGACCATTTAATCTGGACACATGCTAAATAAAGACACCAATCAATACATCCAATTCCATTCATTTTATTTATATAACACAAATTAACAACAGATGTTACTTGAAAGCATTTTACAGAGACATTATTGTCAGATTAGAGAGGTTGCTTATTTAAACGTCTATCTGAGGATCATTGAGTCAATGATTTTGTAGGATATGTTGCTTATAACTTTGTAATAGGATCTCACTTTAAAAGTCTAAAAAACTTTTTATCATTTAATGTAATAGTATTATATATATGTATACTAATAGTATATAATAATGTACTATAATAGGCTCTACAGTTGCATAAATGGTGCTGTCAGAAAATTCCCAATCATTTCAATGCCCCAGTCACCATCACCTCCACTCCTACAGACAAAAATCCTAAACACAACCTCGTCAACTCCGCTCCCGCTGATCTGACCCTATTGGCGCCACACGCTCTCCAGAAGCAGCCTCCCGCATAGTGACACCGTTCCCTTAGGCATCAACAGAGCGCAGACAAAGGAGGAGGTGTGTTTGAGGTAAACACATAGCTCAAATGGAGCGAAGGGGCCGGACTGGCGGGGTCTGCGGGGCTCTCCTACAGCAGCAGTAGCAGTGCATCTGCTGGTGGAAAGCTACCTGACAGCTGCTTCTCACACATCAGATAAGATTACAGGTATAGCCGGTACACCTGTTTAAACAAACCGTCGTCCAAGAACGCCACTATGTGTGTGTGTGTGTTTGTTAGGAAGAATATAGAGATAACAGCCTAATCCAGCAGCAGGTGCACACACCTAAAGCCTCCAAATATATCAGGCAATTAAGTTCATCATTATCAATGTGTTTGATTTATGTGATCAAAAGGTTGATTGTGCATTTAAAAAAATAAAGCTAAACCCTGATGCAGAGCTGAGTTCAAGAGAGCATGTTTCTTCTAGTTTTTGCTGCTGCAAAGCTTGGAGGACTGTCTGTCAGTGATGTTGCAGGATCAGAGCTGGGCTTGCAGAGAAGCAGCCGATCACAAGACGGAGATGTTAACACACAAGCTCAAACGTACATTCATTCACACACAGGCTGTTAATGCCTGATCCATTTGGCTCTAGCCTGACATCTAGCGACTCAGGCTGTAATGGGATCTTACATGATACTGGCATGTGAACATAAAGAGAGGAGCTGAAAGCTGCCGTGTTTTTCTTCTCTACTTAAACTGTAATGATCAGCTTCCATATACCTGGTACACCACAGTGCGCTGACATATGAGGAGTAAAAAAAAAAACAAGCCAAAGCCACACTCCCCTGCCTACATTGCCACCTGTGATGTCACTGTGCACGCCACCAGTGTCGTAATGGTTTGTAAAATAACACGTTGGGCGGCTTGCGTTAGGGTGGGCTCGCCCCGCGCTGCAAACACTGCTGCAGCCTCACTGACACAACATGTTGTGGCCTCCTCTTTTGTGTTTTCTCAGCATTTTTTCAGCCACCGTGCATGAGACACAAACTAATTTTAGCCGGCCTTCACCCACGTGAAGCTAATGTGGGTCTAAGTATAGCTCTGTGGAGTGCAGAAGAGGACAATCATGTTACACTTTATAGAAGGGATATTTGTATTATCTTATTAAGTTTTTTTTTTTGTTTTAATCAAGCATATGTCTTTTTATATGTTTTCACATGGAATTTAAATGCAATGGTGACTGACTCTCTAAAAACACTTACATTCATTGAGAGCTTTAAGGAGCCTCTGAGGGTTACATGTGTTTACAAAAACCTGAAAACTTGCAGTTTACAACACTTCCTTTTTGGAGGAAGAACTTAAGTGCAACCTAACTTTGATTGGTTTAACCCTAGTGATAATGCTAAGATAAAAAACTGTAAGAAACAGGAACACTGAGGGAGTTGTTGCCAAGGAACTTCAAATCCAAGCTGTCATCAGGAATATGTTTACCTGCAACCGTAGTGATTCATCTTTAGATTATTTCTCATATCAAAACAGACATTTTATTTTTGCTTGTTTTGAACATGGAGGACAAATTAGATTACTTAATGAAAGAAAACATAAAATAAACTTATGACTCAGCAAAACAATTGTTTTGTTTTAATGGAGCAGAACCCTAAAAGTTGCACAAGAGCCAATTACACTACAGTGCCATCAGGGGTACTACCTCTAACTGACCCAAATGTAATTACAATTATTTAGGGGAAGTTTAGGAAGATTGCTAAAGTTTAATGTTGCCTCGAAAGAAACAACTTCCGATCCTGATCATTAGATTTACAGTTGGTGTGCATTACATGCAACCTTCATCTTAGACATAAGCAGCAGAAACGTTTAGTTACAAATAGACCATAATTCTGATAAAATGATGAACAAATTTTATTCCACCTTTTAAACAGGTGTCTCCTTATCGATCAGGTGTTTTGGGTTTTATATGAGTGTGAGCTTTTAGGTTCTAAATATAAAGAAAAATATGATTCTGGAGAGAACATTTTGAAATGTATGCTATGATCCAGTTTGTTAAGACTTTTTGATTGAGCAGAATTCCTTTACTTCTATTTAAAAGTGTATAAAAAAGGGGTTTTAAGTTTCCCGTTGTGTAAAATGTAGGTCAATGTGAGGCAAAATCAATATAACATTAGGAATTTTTGGAGTTTGAATGAAATAAAAAAAAGAGTACCTGTTAACTTCAAAGGTTTTGCAAAAATTACTTTAATATTTGTGCCCTCCTAATTAAACCTACGCATCTTAAGATACACTTTGTCAGCCCAAAAAAGTGGAGAAACATTTTAATAATTAAGCCAGTTCTTTTTTTAGGTGATACTGTATGATGTCAATAAAACAAATCAAAGCATTTCCGCTTAAGCATCATATTTGCAGGACAGTTACACTTATCTTAGAGACTGGGCTATAAGGTCATCCTTTTAACCTAGGTGCATTATATTTACCTAAGAATTCAACTGTTTAAAACATCTCCATTAATTATGGGCTTTTACCTCTTTTATAACTTCTAAAATACAGTATTTTAAACTACCCTAAATGAATTATTAAAATTCTTATCCATCCAGTTTATCTTTGGGTCACCCAAACCTTGCGGCCCTGGGCTACCGCCCCACTGAGGGCTTTCTAAGGTCTGGCCCAGGGAGTCCATCACTTATCAACTTATGCTGGCTAAACAGTTAAAATGTTTTTGAATTTACCTTCTTTTGTTCAATCCATGCTTTTTAAAATGTATTTATTAGACAATTACACTTAAAATAATATAAATAATGAATTGGTGGATCAAACTTTTGACAAATATTCATCAATTCTGACAGCCTGTGATTTTGGTGTACAATGTGTTCCTTCAGAGAGCACAAACATATAGATCGAAACGCACAGAGTCTGACTTGGTTCTTTCTTCCAGAGGAGTCTGACAGGAATGAGGTCAGACACACGGATCCTCATTGCACATTATTATTATTACCCCGTTTTTTTATTCAGCCAATGGGAGACTGGCTGGGAGTGGCTCCAATAAAAAAAGCAGGATAGAGACAGGCGCCGATTGGTTCCTGCGCCTCGCAAGGAGGGTATAAAAAAACGAGGTCGGCGTTGTTGTGTTTACAGTAATATCACAGTGCGCACGGGAAACAGGGAGACTATGAGAAAGCGCAGCTGCTTCATTCAACCACATGGTTCCTCAACCGCACAGACAAGCTGCGCTGCAGACAGCCAGGCTCACATAGGGGACTCGCAACGGCGTCTTTTAAGCCTCGCAGGGAGAATTTTCAGCCGCACAGGCAGTTGAAAGCTGATCTCCGAGGCGCACCTGTTAAAGTTTAAAGACTGAAAGTCTCTTAAAACGGACTGAACTCAAGAAGAGACACAGAGGAAACTTGGATGAACTTTTAGATCTTTAGATTTGCTTCAAACTAATATAAGTGAGGAGCATCTTTTTTTCCCTTCCCCACGTTTAAACTTTTTCAGTGACTGAACGCGTTCAGATCCCTTTGGAAGGGGAGATGGTGCAGCACATGAGTCAAACAGAGAGCACCCACGCTCACTCTCCCGGTGGGGACTCCATGGACATGGGGGAAATGGACCTGGAGATGGACGCCTCTCCGGTCCCGGAGGGATCCCCCTCCTCCAGGGAGCGCAGCGACCTGGCGTGGTGCAAAACCCCGACGGGTCACATCAAGAGACCCATGAACGCGTTCATGGTGTGGTCTCAGATCGAGAGGAGGAAGATTATGGAGCAGTCTCCGGACATGCACAATGCCGAGATCTCCAAGCGGCTGGGGAAGCGCTGGAAGCTGCTGAAGGACACAGACAAGATCCCATTCATCCGCGAGGCGGAGAGACTCCGGCTTAAGCACATGGCCGACTACCCGGACTATAAGTACCGACCCAGGAAGAAGGTCAAGTCCGGTAGCGCAGCTGGAAAGCAGGCGGAGCGCGCAGAGAAGAGCGGGGAGCGCAGCGCCAAAGCCGGCGGTGGTAAGAGGAGCCCCGCGTCCAAGTCAGTGAGCCGGACGCTGAAACAGGGGAGCAACAAGAGCGCTCCGGGACAAGAATACGCATCCAGCCTCTTCAAATCCAGGTCAGCATCCGGGGCCAGGCAGATCCCGGAGAAGCGCCCAGGAGAGGCGAGGCGCACCCACGTGTTCGGCGGGACAGGCAGCCTGGAGAGCGGGCCTCCCTCCGTGGGCGTCCCGGCCAGTCCCACCCTGAGCAGCTCAGCCGAGTCCAATGACCCGCTAAGCCTGTACGAGGAGCACAGCCCGGGCTCCACGGCGCGCCTCAGGTACGCCCGCGCCTCCTCTCCGACACCGTCAGCTTCCCACTCCTCATCCTCCGTCTCCTCCGCATCATCGGACGAGGAATTTGAAGATGAGCGGCTCGATCTGAACCAGAGCCCCGGCTTTGAGAGCGCGCCCCTGGGCGGCATGGGCTTCTCCGACGCGGAGCTGGACCGGGACTTAGATTGGGGATTTGGGGAGTGCGGGGCAGGATCTCACTTCGACTTCTCCGACTACTGCACTCCGGAGGTCAGCGAGATGATCTCGGGAGAGTGGCTGGAGTCCACCATCTCCAACTTGGTGTTCACCTACTGAATCAGCCCCTCTCCCGCGTATGAACTCTTCTATCCCTTACCAAGACAAGCCTGTGCGTCTAGACCAGAAGATTTCCGCAATTTTTTCACTTAAAATAAACGAGAGTGAATAAAAAGGAAAGAAAAGGGGGTGGCCTGTGTGCGCAGTGAAGCACCAGGTATGCGCCGCTCAGACTTGGACAGCGCTCCTTGCGCTTGACGAGAGGAAATGCTTAGTTTGCATTTGGACAAGAAGTGGAGGAGGTATGGAATGTCAAACGTGCCACAATTCAAAAAATAAATAAGTTGCTAAATGAAAATCTCTATGTTATAATTAAAAATTAATTAAATTAACTAAAAAACACACTTCTATAATTATTAAAATGTTAAAAAATATATGAATTTACAGATGTCGATGTATAAAATCATTACCATCTATTCCCTGCACATCGCGGTGTAATTTAAAAATGTGTATAATTTCTCGAGTTAAATTATTTCATAATCGTCTTCTGTATTACATCATTAATTATTTTTCTCCCAGTCAGCCTCCCTCACCAGTCAGTAGGTGGGGCTAACGGTTCTACAGATAAAGTGAATCTGCTGTCAGGCTGTTTTGCAAATTGAACAATCAGATGTTACTCACCAATAAACAAGTCGTGGCCACAGTTTAAATTATTTTAATAATGTTAAACAATGAATTTAAACTTTTACTAATCTTTTAATCAATCTTTATAGTTTTCTTCTATTCATTTAATGTATTTTTGTTCTATTGAGATTATATGTATGATATTTATTTAGAAAATGTATCTATTTATTGGATTGTGGCACTTTTGGCCCTCCATACTGAGGAGGAGTGAATGTAAGCAGAGAAGCTGCAGACCCTTAACTTATTCCATGCAGGATGAGGACAGAGACTGAACTTTTTGAGTCTTGATAATTTTTTTTTTTTTTTTGCCTTTCTTTCTGGAACACTTGCTGGAGAGCTCTCGTGTTGTTGGTTTTTCTAAAACCCAGCCAAACCTCTCCGACCATCAAGTTCAGGACATTTTGTTTCCTCCTCAAAACTTAATATTTGTAGTATGAACACGCATGCCCTCCAAGAAGAGGAGGAATTTCTTATTTAATGCGTAAAAAGAAAATGTTCGTCTTTGCTGCGTAATTACGCAATTTGTGTGCGCATAGGACACAATTCACTATCACCAGCTTCTCTCTCAACGGCAGGACTTAGAATAAAGACTGACTCCAAACAGCAGAAACTTTTTTTAAGAAAAAATACAAAAAAAAAACACTTTCGCACAATTCAGGACCAATGTTCTGCGCATTCTATCTGCCTAGTGCTTCAACTTTGTAGTTCTCGTGTCAGACATTCTTTACATATATGTACAGAGCCAGTCCAAGGTTTTATGGGGCCCTGGGCAGAATTTAATGGGGGGCCATCTATCAGTTAAGGTCATTGCCAAACAACCACAAAAGCAAGTCTTTCATATTGTCTATGCTTTTTTTTTCATTCTTTGTTAACCTTTGCTAGTTATAGTATTCTTTTTGGCTAACTAGAAATCGTTAAAGGCATTCAATTTTTTATTTTTTTTTGTCTTATACTGTCTCTTGCAGTAGATAGCCTACCAAGCATTAGCTCCAAAAAAACCTAATGCAATTTCCTGCAGGCTAAGGTTTAGAAAACCTGGTCCAAGAAACTTTCATAGCGATTTATGAGAACAATATTTCACAAACAGTAAATCAACCATTTGCGCTGTCTTTACAAGAAGCACATTTTTTTAAACCTGTCCTGTGAAATTTCATGATGTTTGGGACCCCCCAGACCAGCAGGGGGGGCCCAAAGCAACCCACATACAGCTCAGTCCTTGGGCAGGCTCTGTTTATATATTACTATATATATTGATGTATTTATACTGGCCAAACTTTTTTATACATAGAAGTATTGTTCTCGTACAGGTCTTGTTTGTGTTTGTGCACACACACACACACTCACACCTGTCTGTATATCCAGCTGAGGAAGGGCTAAGAAGTGTATCTTATTTAAAAAAGAAAAAAAAAAAGTGTCCGACTTCTCTCACTTTCATAGAGATTTTGAGTGTGTCATGATTTTCTACTTGTATTTTTGTACAAAATCTATAAAAGGGGCAGCCCTGCAGCATTGTTGTTCGCATCTACATTGGTGGTTTAGACGTGCAGAGGGGGCACAATCTGACCTCACACAGTGTTTACAGTATTTACCCACATGCTTCTTAAATGGCACAGTGACTCCAGCTTCACCAGCCGAGTAAACAAAGCACCACTGAGGCTCCTCTTGACTGTGTTTCCAGTCCACACGCACTCAGAACACACTCAAATCGGAAGTCTCAAAGTGAAAGATCCCAGATCAGAGTCACTGTTTGGATAGAGCTAATACCTCTGTGTGCTTTGTTTTTTTTTTAATATATGGAGATAAGTTTTATTTGAACCACTGGACTCATTCCAATTTTGCCTAGACTTTGGAGAGAGGAGGAAATGTTTTTGAAGTGCTTCATCTGTTATTGCGCAAATTGCATCAAAAAATAGTATTTAACCTTTTTCTGTACCTGTTGGCTAAGTATAGCAGGCTATTTGTTTGTTTTTGTTTGTTTTTTTTATATTATGGCATGGCAAATAGCATTTGTATTTCAGATTCAGGTATATGTAGCTATAGCTGTTGTGTTTAAGATTTTTAAAAGAATAATAACATGAAGATATTTATGTAAACTGACTGTACTATAAGCAAAGATTGTGTGTTTTTATGTATGATAATGATGATCAACGACAGGCACTAGGACGGCCATCTTTGGTGGAAGATGATTGTGGTCCAGGAGTTTCCTTTTAAAAAAAGAAGAAAAAAAAATCCTCTGTTGTCCTTCTTTTTCTTTCCCATTTGTGCAATATGTTGTGTTTGATCATGTTTTGTCCACTTCAGCCAAGATCATTTGATGTCTTTTTGCTCAAAAACCAGCCAACATTTGGGTCAATCACTGCCTCTCAGACCTCTGTACAGATTGTCTTTTTTTATTTGTTTTTTTTTTCTTCCAAGAAGGAAATAAAATCAGCTGGAACTGAAAAAAAATGTTTCACTCCTTAAATTGTGTTTTTCATGAATGTTATTAAATATATGAAGACAAAAATTACTTTATTTGACAACTGTTGTGGGAAAAGTAGCACTTTTTGGTAAGGTCATTAATGGCCCTTCACCTAAAGTGGCATATTCTCTGGGCAGAACTCTCAGAATTTATTAGGTTATGTATGATTTCTTCATTTCCCTGTTTCTAGGATAAATCTGCCAAGATATTAGACATCTAGATCCACCATGATATGTTTGTAAGCTGCATAAACAGGTCACAGAACTCTTATACATGCTGCAACATTCAGCTGGTTTATTGCACCAAATTTGCTATTTGATATATATTAATATTTTAAAGAAAAACAGGTACACCGTACTCCTAAAAAAGCAATTAGATTTTTTTTTTTCCGCCATCTTTTGTGTTACAACAAAGTAATTTCTTACTTATTTTGGTAAAAGAGCCATTTTTGATCAAGGCTGATATTAAAAGGATATTACATAGACTGGTGTTTCTTACTTAACTTAAATAGAATATATGACCTTTAAGCACTTTTATCTTCTGATATATATATATTTTGTATCTCTTCATTATGCTTTTTGCATAATGTGCAAGGTCAAGGACGTGATGTAGGAGTAAAAGGGGCTAGGTGGGGGACCCAAGAGTTGGGGGGTAGTTCAGGGCATCCATGCAAAAAAGGAGCACTCTCAAATTACAAAATCTCCAAAATTACCAATGTGCTACAGTTGTAAAGGGAATAAAATAAATAAGCTTTTTTAGTGATATGCACCATGAAAAAAAATCATAAAATGCTAAGATTTAGTGGGGAAGTGACTATATATCTTTCTAATCTAATCTATCTCTGGCTGTATGTTGAGTAGTGGGGGTCCCTGGGAGGTTGCAGAGAGATGAACTCAGCACCCCACCTCCCCATCCCGAAGGATCATTCATGCAAGACACCCCTCTAAAAAAGAAGCAACTCCCCTAATGTTTTTATATTTTGTTTTTATCCTAGCAAAGATGCTGCATTGTCCCTATTTTACCTTCTACAAATCTGATGCTGTGTTTACATTCTGCTTGCGCATGTCAGATATGCTTGCATGGGAGTGTTTTCCAAGTGAGCCGCTGCAGCAGATCGCCAGTCAATGGCCAGCCAGCGAATCAATAGGAGTGGCCTCATCCTTCCATCTCATCCTCCCGTTTGATTCCGCACGTGCAAAAAACGTGGCTGCCATGGAAACGCTGTATCCAAGAGAGAGAGAGAGGGGTTGCAATCCACTAGGGAGTAGCATGGTGGGGGTGTGTGTGAGTGTGTATGTGTGGAAAAGGGACATAGACTGATGCATCAGGGTGGGGTGGGTGGATGAGTGGGTGGGGGTGGTAGACATTTCTGCAAGGCATGACTGGAATAAAGGAACAGTGTGTGTGTGTGTGTGTTAAAGGGAAGGGAGGCAGAAGAGGGTAAAGAGGGGAGGGTGTTTGTCTGTCCTGGTGGATTGTGCAGGAGACTGCTCCCAAATCCAATTAATTCCTTCTGGATGCGTTCATTTGTCTCGTACATCTGACGAGAAAGACAGAGAGAGGGACCCCTGAGGTACAGTATTTAGTGTATATCAATTTACGCCCTATTCCACAGGAGACGCTGGTAATTATTTCCATCTCTCATTCGTTCGCTCTCTGTCAGGAGACCAGGGTCGTCTCCAGCTTTCCCTCTGACATCCCAGGCTTCGTAATAAGAAAGAGACGAGGCAGGGGCCCAAAGACGGCACAGTCGGCCCCACCGCATGTCTGCACATAAGCTTTGCATCAGGCAGGAAAGAGCATGTGAGGTGTCCCTGTTTTTCAAAGTCCTTTGAGTCAGGACAATAAAGAGACCTGGATACGGAGCTGCCACTTTGACCCACATAAAGACACATGCGTGACTGCTCGGTGCCCTTAACCTTCATGCCTGATTACTGCAGTTTGTTTGTGTCCCAGCTGAACCTGAGTGAATCTGACAAGATCGAGTCAAGGTGTCTGCTTAGGCTACAGACCGAAAGGAAAACAGAAACCACACGAGGTGTTTGTGACTGTGTGTGGCTCTATGTGTGTGCGCTAAGTCTAGAGGAAAATGGCAGGTTTGCTTGGATTTAAGTTTTTACCACATTTTTTTGTAATTCAGTTTTGTACATAACAAGACTGTATGTGTATATGGCATAGATTTGGCTTAAAAAAAGCTGTTTTATTATCCAATCATGATATGTTTGTGGCAATTCTAGTCTCAGCTTCCTGTTCTTAGATGAAATATTGGCCTCAAATATTAACTTCTGCTGCTGTACCCTGTCTATCATTCATTGTGTTGCATTGGTATTCCACAGCTCAAGCCATTGAACACTATGGTCTCATTCTTCAACAAGTCTGCCTGTATCTGATAGCTAAGGTCTCCGAATTAAACAGTTTTTTATTATCTAAACACTGGTGTTTATTCAGTTTTAGTTCTGTTAATTATGGTTATTTACCACTTATACCATATCAAAACGATAATAAAGATTGAAGGATTAAATCAGACCAAAAACAACACATTAAGAGTTTTTTGATACCTGCTATAATTCTTTTATTTTTAGAACATTATACTAATCTCCAAAGCTCTTTCTCAGATCTTTGAAAAAAAAAAAAATCCAATCAGCTGCTCTTGCTTCAAAAATCATAACTTTAAACTCACCTAAAATCCTCTTTCTTTGCCCCTCTCATGCATTGTTTGAATTTTAGAAAGTAATCTTCATTGCATTTATGCTATGCATAATTCTGGATGGATGGATGGATGGATGGATGGATGGATGGATGGATGGATGGATGGATGGATGGATGGATGATTAGCCTTCATTTTCTACTCACCCCCATGCTGAACAACACTCTGGAGTACTTTTTTGATATCTCAAATGCATCTGGAGATCTGGGAGG